TAAACCCTAAACACTAAACCCTAAACCCTAAAACCTAAACCCTCGAGAGGAAAGGAAGAAGAGCTCACCGTGATCCCCAATGACAAAAGTCCGAAGATATGATAAAGAGGTTCTCCTGAACACGCCCACCGCCACAAACCCTAAACCCTAAACCCCAAACCCCAAACCCTAAACCCTAAACCCTAAACCCTAAACCCTTCTAATTCCTTACATCTTGGAGGAAATAGTCCAACAACATATCAACAAATTTTTGATTGTCTTTGCGTCCCTTTAAATCCCCAACAATCATCGGAACTATCTTTACACCCCTGCAGCCACAAACCCTAAACCCTAAACCCTAAACCCTAGACCCTTACTGCAGACGCTGGCGAGCCAGGCGTCTCCCTCCCACCGCCACCCGAAATCGTAAACCCTAAACCCCTCCTGAAAACGCTGGTGAACCGGATTCCTCCCCTCCACCACCGCCCAAAACCCTAAACCCTAAACCCTAAACCCTAAACCCTAAACCCTAAACCCTAAACCCTTACTCCTTGAAGGTATGCCTAAGAAAAGGAAGCATAAGCTCAACACTATGTTCCTCCTCATCCTCAGCAAGAGAAACCCCTTGAAAAACCCCCGAGGTTCTGAGGGTTTCGAGAGCTGCGTATACACCCCGCACCAAACCCTAAACCCTAAACCCTAAACCCTAAACCCTAATTAGTGTTAGGGTTTAGATAGGAAACCTACTCTCTATATCCAATGGTAAATCCCCTAATGGTGTTAAATAAACACTACAACCCTCAGGAGGCAACGCAACCCCCTTAAAGTGTTTGTAGTGCGAAGGACCCAATAAGAAAACCCTCTCGCTGCACATACACAAACCCTAAACCCTAAACCCTAAACCCTAAACCCTAAACTCTATTTATGTACAGACCCTTGGGTACAAAGCCTAAGCGTCAAGGAAGCAAATGATAAGCAAAACAAACACTCTTAGAACAGGCAGGAATGGCTCTGCAGGGAATTAGGGTTTAGGGTTTAGGGTTTAGGGTTTAGGGTTTACTATTTCGAGGGGTCAACTTGCTTCCATGCACAAGCAGCTGTAGACCCTGAGAAGCGAAGGCCTGCATGCCTGATGCAGACAAGGAACAAGCAAAACCCTAAACCCTAAACCCTAAACCCTAAACCCTAGACTTCCTGCACAATGGGAGCGGATAGCACAAGTGCACATGTATGAGAGTTATTATGCACCGTCCTTTGCGTATATTAAAACCCTAAACCCTAAACCCTAAACCCTAAGCCCTTCTTACGGGCAAATAAGGGCCTTTATATGCCCATCGTCGCAGACTTTGGCGGCGCGCTCAATCCATCGCTGAATCTGTCCAGACAATTTACTCCCTGCAGCAAAACCCTAAACCCTAAACCCTAAACCCTAAACCCTAGGCGGTCGTTAGAAAGTTCCGCAACAGATATGAATTGTAGCTGTCTTCTTCAAACTGGGGTTTAGGGTTTAGGGTTTAGCCTCACTGTCAGCGTCATACCACGTCCCTGCATGCGTAGCCCTCCTCTGTTTCTGTAGGCTTCTGCTTCGCTGCATCTTTCTTACGAGGGTTTTCAGGGTTTATTAGGGTTTAGGGTTTGGCGGTTTAGGGTTTAGGGTTTTAACCGCGGTTACTCCTAACTAACGAAAAGAAGAAGCTTTTTTGCCGCATAAAATAAAAAGATTTATTTCTGTTATAGAAGCTGTTGATTTATTTCAGTGACAAAAATAAGGGTTTAGTGTTTAGGGTTTAGGGTTTAGGGTTTGCGGTATCGGGTATACTGCTAGGGTTTGTAGGGGGGAGGTTCAAAGACGCATCAGGCATCAAGAAAAAGAAGAAGATAATTAAAAAGTAATTATTAATTAAAATTAAATAAATACAATTAAAAAAAGAAAGAAAAAGAAGAATTTAATTTAGGGTTTACGTCTATGGTGTATGTAGACCGCAAAAGCAACAGGGAGGAGCGACGCTAGTATTGAGTCAGATTAGGGTTTAGCAAGGTGGGCCTCTAGGGTTTAGGGTTTAGGGTTTGGGGTCTTTTGTAAGGAGAAAATAAACTCAAAAAAATATTAATTTAATACAGAAGCATGAGGAAGAGGGGAAGAAAGGAAGAAAAAGGATGCAGCAGCTGCTGCAGCTGCAGCTGCAGCAGCTGCTGCTGCTGACGCCTTTTTCTTCCCCTACATGCTGCAGCCACAGTAGCGCCTGTGTCGCTAAACCCTAGCTAAACCCTAAACCCTAAACCCTTAACCCTAAACCCTAAAATTAAATTTCTAATACAATTTACTACTTCTTCCTCAACTCCACTGCAAACAGCGCATGCACAAACCCCACAGATAGGGCCGCAGCCGCCTCAAACCCTAAACCCTAAACCCTATACCCTAGCAAATCCTAATTTATAAACCCTAGACGTTAAACCCTAAGGTCAAGAGCAACAGCTTGTCCTAGATCCACAGCCATAGACCCTAAACCCTAAGACCCTAAAAGACCCTAAACGCCGCTCCCTATATCCTAAACCCTAAACCCTAAACCCTAGACATCCTCTACAATTGGATGAAATAATTCTTGATGGAGAGGCGTGTTCTCTAAACCCTCACATAAACCCTAAACCCTAACCCTCAACCCCCCCATTACCCAAGTATGTAGTAGTCATTTTCTCGGGCACTTCCTCTTAATCCCAAATAAACCCTAAACCCTAAACCCTAAACCCTAAACCCTTTTCCTTGTTTAGACCTCTTAATTAATAAAAATATTTTTTTGTTTTTTCCCTTTAAATTATAATTATTTATTTAAGCCGGTAAGAGGCATCTCCCTAACGACTAGCCACCGGCTAGCTATCTACTATTAGCTAGCTAGCTAGCCGCTAGCTAGCTACTTTATCGGCTAGCTGTGCACCTATCTAGCCAGGTAGCTAGCTAGCCAGGTAGCTAGCTAGCTAGCTACGCAGCTAAGAGAGCCGCGTTTGTTTCCCTAGCAGTTTAATGAGCCCTCTAGCTAGCTACTCCTCTGCCTGATGGCATATATACGGCTAGCTAGCTAGCTAGCTAGCTATGTAGCTAGCTAGCTAGCTAGCCAGCTAGGTGTATATATATGCCATCTAGGTCGTGAGTGCAGCAAGGATTCCCGTTGGCTAGCTGCTAGCCACGGGCTAGCTAGCTAGCAAACTAGCTAGCTAGCTAGCTAACTAACTAGTTATCTAGTTAGCTAGCTAGTTAATTGGCTAGTAAATAAGCTAGCTAGCTAGCCATTAATATAGCTAGCAGTCTGATTAGGTAGACAAACAGCTAGCTAGGGTTAGTGGTGGAGGCAGAGCATGGTCATCTTGCCCAAACCCTAAACCCTAAACCCTAAACCCTAATAAACCCTTATAAACCCTAATAAACCCTAAACCCTCAATAGAACATAAAACCCCAACTGCTGCAACTATTTGTGTCTTAGTTGGGCACGGAATGTTCTTGGCCTACGGGACTTCCTTATATGGTGCTGCTGCTGCTGCTGCTGCTGCTGCTGCTGGATGTCCTCATGGTCTTGATACTGCATTTCTAATTCTTCTTCTTGTTCACCTCCATCATCCCCATCTCCCCCCCCTCCTCGCTGCTGCTGCTGCAGCTGCTGCTGCAGCCGTTCGTGCTGTTCCTCGTCCTCCTCGTCTTCCTGCTGCTGCTGCTGCTGCTGCTGCTGCTGCTGCTGCTCATCATCATCTAATAATGCATCTACCTCTATAACAAGAGGAGGCCTTTTTAGGGTTTGTATTTGTGCAGCAATAAGAAGAAGAGACCCTCCTAAGAAAACCCCAAACCCTAATGCAAAGAATCTTAATTGATTTGCTGCTGCTGCTGCTGTTGCTGCTGTTGCTGTTTCTGCTGCTGCTGCTGCTGCTGCTGCATCTGTTGCTGTTGCTCCTGTTGCATTTTTATTTGCTGCAGTATTATAATATTGACTATACTGCAGCAACAGCAGCAAACCAATAATAAAGAATATAACAGCACGTAGTCCCCTCCTGGGGGCCCCTGGGGGGCCCCCCTTATTATACCTTTTATTTATACTTATACCTAACTCTATTACCCCTGATAAGAAAATAGTACCCGTAAATATAAACAAAATAAGGAAAGAAATATGCCTATGGGGCCCCACGCCTGCTGCAGCAGAGAGCAGCAGATCGAGGCCCTTTGCTGCTCTATATATTGCATGCAAAGGGTTAGGGAAATGTTGTGCTGCTGCTGCTAATGCTGCTGCTGATCCACCACCTGATGCATGCGCTGCACCTGCTGCAGCAGCAGCAGCAGCAAGCTTCTTAGGTACTATTAATGCATATATATACAGCAGCAAGGACAGCAGCAAACTAAACCCTAATGTCTTTAGTCCTCTTATTGGGTATGCATTTATAGGTGCAGATAAAAATAATGTCTGCTGCTGCTGCTGCTGCTGCTGCTGCTGCTGCTGTTGCTGTTGATCCTGCTGATCGTGCTGATGATCCTGCTCCTTGTTGTTGCTGCTGTTGTTGTTGTTGTTGCTGTTGCTGCTGCTGCTGCTGCTGCTTGTGTTGCTGTATTTAGTTGTGTTGCTTCGTCTTTTTATTGTTGCTTTTGCTCTTGCTGCTGCTGCTGCTGCTGCTGCTAAGGAGGGCCTCCTCTTTATTGTTCTTGCTGCTGTTAATGGTATATTAGGGGGGGCCCACAGTGTACGTACACCTGAATTATTTCCCCCTATAAATCTTCTTGTTGTACCTCTACGTGTATTAAATCGTACATGCTGCTGCTGCTGCTGCTGATGGTGCTGCTGCTGCTGCTGCTGCTGCTGCTGGGGATGATGATGATGCTTGTCTTCTTCTTCATACACTTCGTCATCTTCTTCTTCTTCCTCTTCCTCATGCAACTCCTCTTCGTCATCCTGCTGAGGCTGCTGCTGCTGCTGCTCCTGCTGCTCCTGCTGCTGCTGTTGCTGCTGCTGCCGACGCCGCTGCGGCTGCTGCTGCTGCTGCTGTTCCTGCTGCTGCCGCTGATGTTGCTGCCGACGCCGCTGTGGCGGCTGCTGCTGCTGCTGCTGTTCCTGCTGCTGCTGCTGCTGCTGCGATTGTTTGCGGCGCGTCATGTGCTTTATCTTACGCATTGTTCGTGCTGCTCCTTCCCTTACAGCAGCAGCAGCAGCAGCAACAGCATTACTTGCTGCTGCTACAGCAGACACAGGAAGAGAAACAGCAGCATTTGCCTTTTCTGCTGCAACAGGAAGATCAGCATCTGCAGGAACTTTATCTTCATCAGCAGCAGGAGAAGGAGCAGCAGCAGCAGCAGGATCTGCTGCTGCTGCTGCTGCTGCTGCTGCTGCAGCAGAATCGATAGGGGTAGGCAGATCTGACCATTCCCCTAGCACAGGGATCCCATCATCAACTTCTTGCTCATCATTTGCTGCTGCTGCTGCTGCTGCTTCTGTTGCTGCAGCAGCATCTGCTGCTGCTGCTTCTGTATCTGCTGCTGCTTCTTCATCATATGCTGCTGCTGCTGCGGCGGCAGCAGCAAAGGCGCTTCGTTGCACCAGGAGCTGCAGCAAGTACAGAAAAATATATATATAAACCCTAGGCCTCATAAGGGGCGCCTAGTAGTGGCAGTACTGCCACTCTAGGGTTTAGGGTTTAGGGTTTATGTTTTGGGGATTGGGGTCTAGAGTTTGGGCGGCAAGGCGGAAGTAGACCTTCGGGGGTGAGGTCTAGGGTTTAGGGTTTAGATTAGGGTTTAGGGTTTAGGTAAAGAGCATTAGAGTCAAAATAATATAAAAAAAAGGCAAGAAGAAACCTCTGCATAAACCCTAAGCCCTAAACCCTAAACCCTGAAAACGCTCCAGGGGAGGCGGTCGCTGCTGATCTGCGCGGACCCCCTAAACCCTAAACTTGAAACCCTAAACCCTAAACCCTCATACATAAAAAGGGCCTAATATATTCTTTTTATAATTCAATGTTCCTCTTTTAATTATAAAAAGAATCTTCTTGCTGCAGCAAGAAGAAGGACAGTCTTGCCGGGCCGGCGCTTGAGGGAAGGAGCGCACGCGCCGGGACGCCGTCTACGGTTTAGGGTTTAGGGTTTAGGGTTTAGGGTTTACGGCTCGGATACATAACATTCATATTTTTAACTACACTATTCAGGCCTCCTTGCATTGTACGCTAGCTGATTGGGGTTTAGCCAATGTGCTCGCCGTCGCTCGCATCGAGCTAGGGTTTAGGGTTTAGGGTCTAAGGCCTATGGGTTACATTTTAGGGTTTAGGGTTTAGGGTTTAGGGTTTAGGAATCGATTTCTGGTGTCTCGTGGTAATTGTATTTTCGTCCCTTAGTACACTTCCCTATCTGCTCCCCCTTAAGCCATATGTACAGCCCTTAGTGTTGAGGGTTTAGTGTTTAGGGTTTACGCTATAGAGTTTCTGGCGTCATTTTGAGGGTTTAGGGTTTCGCGGGCTTGTTGGGTATTTGTAGACACAGAAATCGTTCGTTCTGCCCTTAATAGCCGTAAACCCTAAACCCTAAACCCTCCCCTTTAGATCTTTGCCGGTAGACAAAGAGAAGACACCTTTCCTCCCCTTGGGGAAGGCAAGAGAGAGGCAGATACTAGGGTTTAGGGCTTAGGGTTTGGGGTTTAGGGTTTGAACATCAGCACAGTGTTGCCCTTCTCTACTATTTGGCGGTTGTTTGCCAATCACTTGAGGGTTTACTGCACTCCATAAACCCTAAACCCTAAACCCTAAACCCTAATCGGTGGTTTTGAAGTGTTTAAGAGTTGCCAATACTATCAGGGCACGTCCCCTGGGTGCTTTTTTTAAGCCACAAACCCTAAACCCTAAACCCTAAGACCCTAAACCCTCAGCTTAGCGGCTGTCCCTTCCCCTACAAGAGACACTGTCTCCTTATTGTCTCTTAATGTGTCTCCTTAACACTTTTAGTGTGCAGCAGCAAGAAGGTGTACTGCTCGCTGCATGCATGTGGGGCTGTGCTGCAGCAGCAGCAACAGCAGCAGCAGGAGCTGCAGCAGCAGCAGGAGCTGCAGCAGCAGCAGGAGCTGCAGCAGCAGCAGGAGCTGCAACAGGAGCTCCAGGAGCAGCAAGATGTGCAACAGGAGGTGCTGCAGTAAGATCTACAGCAGCAGGAGTTGCAACTGCAGCAAGAGCTGCAGCTGCAGCAGCAGCAGCAGCAGTAGCAGCAGCAGCAGCAGTAGCAGCAGCAGCAGCAAACCCTATTGTGTGTAGATACTGCGCGCGAGTGTTTAAGTGTTTTCTATTTGGCGTTTATCTGCTGCTGCAATTAAAGGATAGCTACATAAACCCTAAACCCTAAACCCTAAACCCTAAACCCTAAACCCTGGCGTGGCTGCCCACCATATTATTCACTAGGGGTGTATTGGTAGCTAGCCTAGCTAGCTAGTATACCTAGTGTGACTAGCTAGTCTAGATAGCTAGCTAGCTATAATAGCTAGCTAGTTAGCTAGCTAGATTAGCTAGCTA